AGCCATCATCTGACTAGCCAAATTGAATTCAGTTTCTGTGTAACAGGCTGTGGGATGAGTGCATCCAGACCATCTACAAATTACAACAATTTCTCTTTTTAAATAGAAAAAATAGGTAGTAGAAACAAAATTGTTTTCTAGTGTCACCAAAATCTCATCACATATCACTGGCCTCATGTGGTGATACTGCACAGTGTATTTCTGTGAAAAATCAATTTCAAAGTTTGCAAAATGCTTCCACAACTGGACTTGTGAAACAAAGATCGCTCTGTTGATGATTAAAAAAAAAGGGATTTGGAGAGCTTTGGAGATACTGCAAAGTATGTTATTATGCACTACGAGCGTCTGTGGTTGTTTCACTGTGATTAACCTTGTCTCTTACAGGTCAGTGTGTTTGGATTCGGTGCAGACCAGTATGGAAACTGGCACCACTACTGGGAGGAGAACCATTTGGCCGGAGCTTTCCGACACACAGGAGTCCATGATGGAGATTACGAATATAATGTCACCCTGCTGCTGGCAGACAAGCACAAAATCCGAATGTTTAAAGGCAGATGATACCGAGCCCATATGTGCAGCTGGATGACCACCAAATGAACCTCAGCAGCCTTTTAATGTTTGTTACCCACCAAAAGAAGAATTTTGTTTTTGTTTTATTTCTTTATTTTACAGATTCCAAAGACATTTTCACTATTCTGCTCAGCCCAGTTTCCTGTCATTTACTGAAGTGGCTGTTTAACAAATGTCACTTCTATTGTCACACCAGGAGACGAGGACAGGCCATCCATAAGACAAAATCAGCACTGCCATGGGAGACTGAGCAGACAATAGTAGAAGGGAGACGAAGATGTATGTTAATAAGCATGTTATTATAAAAAGCTGAAGTTCTACTACATAGTATGTGTATAATCCATGTGTCGCTTTTCTATGTAATGATGTCCAGCACTGTGGCCGCCAAAAGCTTTGTATGCTAATGATCAGACCAAGTGCCGTAATTACCGTTAATGTGTCATTCAATTGCCTCTGTTGCAAACTGTTTAAGTTTAAATTGATACCCAATAAATGTAAAAGCATTTAAAGCAAAACCCTACAGACCTAACATCAAAATGCATTTTCACAATATGGCATTGGTTTTTTACTTTGTAGTGATGGACATGTGAGAAATTCTGCTGTTTTTTGTCAGATCCACCAATTTTTTAATGTGCAACCTTCACCAAATAGCTATTTATTAACTTGCTTTCCTGATTACAGCTGTAAAATAAAGTTTAATTACACTAAAGGGGTGCTTAAAATTGAACCCAAAATCTAGCCCCAAGAAATTATTTTACTACATTGGGACATTTACAGAAAACCCACAGGACTACAGCCACATCTATGGGAAATACTTAAGTGTTCAGTCCAAATGTCAAACACTTTGTCATCCCTACATACTAAGTTTTAAAAAATAACCATATAGTCAATGCTAGAGCAAAAATTAAGTCTCTATCAAAAAGAGTCTAAAAATGATTATGCACTTTGTTTTGTGACTAATAAGCTTCAATAGTGCTATGTATTTCGAGCCAAATGTTAGCTGTCTAACCTGCTAAGCTATGATGGGGAACATGTTAAACATTCCTTGTGCTAATAATGCTAGCATTATCATAAAGAGCATTTTAGCATGCTAGTATTGAGCCCAAGTTCCCCTGTGTCTCACAGAGCTGCATATACCAGCAGTGTATTCATTTTCCCACACTTAATCTTATTTTCTCCTTATTTTGTTGAACATTTGTGGGCTGTAATGTTTTTTGTGACACCAGTATGTATCTCCTAGCAAGTCAGAATTAGCACGGTGACAAAAAAATAATAAGCTAGTTCCTTAGTTGTCACTCTCTGTGCTCGCTGTGCACCGAGGGTACAAATAAGACTTAGCTTTTTAATCTTATTCTTCTTATTTTGCTGGATATTTCTTGACTGTGATGGTTGAGAAGTAGACACACAAATCTGAGCTAGCACGCTGGTACTCATGAGCTACATTACAGTATCCACCTCCTCTATCCTTTGCTTTTTCAGATATGTCTCAGTCACATTGAGAACAATAGAATGACAACCTCCTTGTGACTAGGAAAAATCAGTCATTGTTTGTACTGAATTTTTTCAGATTGGCGACTTATTTCAAATAGTTGGGACCAACAACTGGTTGCCTAAAGGTTAAGTGTGTAACAGTCAACAACTTGTAATTCAATAGCTTGCCACCAAAATTATATTCTCATTATATCTTTATATAAATGCAAAGTTGCCAATGTCATCTTGCAGTTAAATGACCATAATGCAGCAACTACATCACTATTTGTGGAGGGATTTCTGAATTGTAAATCCATGGTTCTGGTTGGCAGTAGCGGTTAATGTAAATTTCTGTTTAATATGAGTTTCTGTGGATACAGACAGCAATGAATTTGTATTTTTCACCAGTTTAACACAGTTGATCACCATATTAACAAAAACTGACCGCATTTAAATGCTAACTTGACCCCATTCAATTGCAAACTGATAGCAGACTAACTCCATCTTATTGCTGTTGCATTGCCATCTTTGAAGTCAGCAACTGACTGAGAGTAGTCCCAGACCCAGTCTTTGTTTTCAAAGCAACTTCTTCAAAGGACACCAGTTCAGTCATTTTCATTTTCTCTAGTTGTAGTATTGAATTTTCTACCCACAGTTTAAGTGTTACATACCCAGTGTGTATTAGAAGAGATGACTGTAATGAAAAATCTCTTGAAATTTTCATGAATTATATGAATTATTTCCATCTCTTTGACAGAGGGGGTCTGTGCTCTGAGCTACATATTCAGAGCACAGACACCACATTAGACAGGATGCAGCGTGTGCTTCAGCTGCTTTCACTAAAAATACCATAATGTGGCAGCTTCCTGCGGCTTTATGTGGCGGTGTGGGCGTGTTAATATGTAAAATGGAACCGAGGTGAAACAGAAAATAATGTTTTATTGCTCTTATTTGTTCCCGTGATCACTTCTCTCTCTCTCACCACTAACCACTGTGGCTCTCTCTCGCTCTCTCTCTTGTTGAGCTGAGGTGAAGGGGGTCAGCTTTTGATGTTTCTCACAATTTCAGCACATTGTACATTTGAAATTGTAGAATACCATCACCAACTTAGTTTCTGTTCTAGACAGAAAGAAAATTTGGTGTTTGGAATTTGTTTCTTTTATTAAATCTGCTGGGCCAAAAGGACTCTACTGGAGACCTGCAGCTACCAGTGGATTAAGAGTTGTGTTTTAGCAAAGCAATCAATGAGATTGTGCCATTGGGTGTGATGGAAAAATGATAGAAAGGTTTTCAGTGTTTGCAGCGTAACACAAACAGCGGGTTCTTTGTCATCGATCATTAACACCTGACATACGAACCAGCCTATACAGGGGTGCCTTATTGTTGAAATCAGTGATGTAGTATACATTTTTTGACGTATTATGTGACACAGTTTGTAAATGAAAAGTATGTGTAAAGTGCCTTACAGTTAAAGTGTACTGTATTGTTGTGTAAATCTGACACTCATATGCTTGGTACACACAGTATAGCTGTCTCATTTATTGTCAGTAAGATGCCAACATGTTTTGCACTTTTTGATGAGGTGTTGCTCTGTTTTGTCCAGATTTTATTAGCTTGCTGATCACACTGAACTCTCACCTTCTTATTTTTACTCACAGACATCTGACCTGAAATGTTGTGCTTGTTCAGATGATGCAGGAGTTAGGCTTAGCTGCAGTAACAGGCTATGATTTGCTCTGTGTGCCTTGTGACAGATTAGAGACATTTGTCTGGCCGGTGTCTTTTCTTCATTCCCGCACACACGAGCGGGACGGAGACAAACCACAATTTGGTTTTTCCTGTCACCATGAATTCATTCAGCTGCCACAGAAGACAGCAGTGGTGTGAATGTGTCATACAGGGAGCAGGGAATACTGCCACCTAGTGGACAAAAACGTGGGTCAGCATTAACGTGTTTTGATTTGTTATTATATGATTCAGTATGAACTGGCACTTTTCAAACTTTATTCATTGTTTATCGTTTAAATAAACTGTAAGTAGTGCAATTGTTTCAGTCTTCACACACACACTAGCTGTGAAGATGGATGTACGTAAGACTAAGACAAAAAATAAAGGCTCCAATGAAAAGAATGGGCGACTTCATTTAGTTTTACAGAAAATTGTTAAACACACGGTCTGACACACATTAGGCTGGACAATTCCTACAACAGCTCAGCTGGTTTCTTGTATCTGTTCAAGCCTTTTTGTTTCCTTTCTATTTGTTTTTTTTACTGATATATTGTTGGAATTTGTTAGTGATTTATATCAAAGAAAGTTCATCATTTAGTGTAAGCCTAACTCAAACACAGTGAACAAAACATTTTAGTTATTTTTTAGAAATCACAGACACCCTGTCCTCAAGGCTCAAAAAAAGAGGAGCAACATTTCTCTTGAGTGATACAGGTTGTAAAACAAAAAACGGTCCTCTCCAGATGATGCCTTTTCAGGGAAGGTCTTGCTTAACCCAGAAGATATTCAACAGCACGGCTATTCCAGAATACCAAAAAAAGAAGACCATGTGCAAAACTGGTGTGACTGCAGCCCAGGCCAGTCACCTACAGAAAACTACAGAAAACGGGCTCATGATTTTCTGAACCTTTACAGAGTATCAGCGGTGATGCGGCACAGTGACACACATGCTTCAGACAAAAGTATTCAACCCTTCAATATTAAAAAATATCAGTTTTGCTGTTCTACATATTTGCTAGATTTGTTAATTAGAGTTTACATTAAAACGTTAAAAATGTAAAAACAACCTCTGTCATGTGACTGACATTGACATGTGTCTTCTGTCTTCATCTTTCCATTGCTCCTTTTGAGGGTCCCATAACATCCTCCTCTGTCACACCAACCCTCTGCATGGCCTTCCTCTTTTCCTTCTGCCTGGCAGCTCCATTGCTACATCTTCAACACCCTTTATCCAATTCCACTTGCCTCCTGTGCACATGTCCAAAGCATCTCAGCCTTGCCTCTCTGATTTTGTCTAGTGGAGATGTCATTTTACAAGTTTCTTGTCAACACACTCATGGCAAGGCATACTATATTAGCAAGAGCATGTGATACATATAAATCTATCTATCTATCTATCTATAGTCTGATACAGTTCAAGTGCAGGTCATTGACACCGACTTGTGTGGGAGAGACCGATAATGAGAAGTTGAATTATTCAGTTGTTCAGCTATCTGTAGACTCCCACACAAATACAACTGGAGCTTTTTGCTGAAACGTGTAAAAAGGACAAGAAGGTTAATGATTTGTAAAATATTTCACAAATTCTGAGTAGGCTGAGTGCAAATTACACCAGATGGCCATGAGCTTGTATGTGGATGGGTCTACACAGATTTCACAGAAACATATCAGTCTGCAGCAGCTGAGACAAAATTAGATGAGTCACAGTTTGGGATTTGAAAAGAAATACACGGCATTTAATGTTCCTGATTAATCTTTCTCTTTTTAAGGATGTAATCACAAGCATGGTCGATGGTTAATCAGTCCTAATTGGTGAGGCGCTATTTACATGAATCCCCTTCACAGTTTGGTCAATAATAACTTTGCTTTTTCCTTCATGACCTGCTACAGCTAAAAATCATTATTTCTTCTTTCTGCTCAGTACACAGAAAAAATGTTGAATCTGGTGATCGCGACCTTTACATAACCATCAAAACCACAACCACCATACAGATGGAACAGAAGCAGGAAATATGGTAAGAGATCAAGCCCCTCCATAGAGAAATACCAAGCGGCTTGCAAAAGCCAGCCTAACAGAACATGAAAGGACAGCCTCTGATCACAACAACAGGCCCTGAGCACAAGATCTGTAGAGGAAGGAGTCAGTCACAGCTGACAGGATCCAAGCTGCATATTGCACAAGTTGCCCAAGAGATTAGGAAGTCCATAGCAGCAGGATGTGAGTCCCAAGCTGAGACAGCATGCACTTAAAGGTATACCCAAGGGGTCAAACTAGTGACAGTGCTGTATATGGATTAGAAGTCCGCTTAATGTGGTTGAGAACAACAGGGCTAAGTTCGAGGCAGGCAATCAGTTGTCGACCAACTGGTCAGACACAGTGGTAGTTGGTGAGGAGTGGAAGAGTGTTGTGAGTCTAAGCTGAAACATCTGTAAGAAAGACCGTGTGACAGTAAAGATCAGCTGAAACAGGGCTTAAAGGAACAACTGGTCGGGGCCAAAAAAGACACATTTGTAATTACTGCATTAGCAGCTGTAACACCTGGAACTGGAAGCGCAGCTCCAGGAGATTCTGGCAACATCAGAAGTCTCTGTCCAGAAGATTGCAGTCCTAGCAATAGCGGATATACTTGAAACTCCCAGAATAATGAAGAAGCCAGCATTTTATGTATTAAGTTAGCACTTAATAAGTGTTAAGC